TGAATATTTAACAATTTATTTCTTTTATTTAATGAAATAAAACAAAATTATATCCAAATATTTAATCTGAGTATTTAGTCTGAAAAAGAATATTTATCATTTGTTGTGTGGAGGTGTGGCCGGGGTAGTAAGAATATTGTTCAATAAAAATTCACCCTTGCTATCAAATTCTTCATTTTGGCACTTATTTAATAAAATCTTGTACCATAATCTAAGAAAATTTAATTTGTTTTAACCAATTTTATATTATAAGATTCATTAATACTACTAACCTTTACACAATACAAAAAATCTATCATATATCCAGCTTGTTGATCTTCAAACTTTAAAGAAATCTTGAAAGAACTAATATCAGCCAAAACACCAAATTTTTGATTTGGATACCTCGTATATTGTAGAAAATAGATCTCACTATCTAAAACAAAAACTTTTTTTAGTTTTAAGTAAATATTAGGGAGAATGTATTAAAAATCACCTGTCACATGAATTCCGCCAAGTTTGATATCACTAAATAAATCTAACAAATCATCTGAAATTCCTTTTACTTTCTTAGAATAATGATTGATTATTATATTAAAATTGTTATTTAATGCTCAACTGAGTTTGTTATAATCATTATCACTATTAATGTTTGGGAGCTTAGCTTCACCCAAAATAGGATAAAAATATCTATATTGAACTCTATTATTTATCATATTTTCTACATGATAAGAAATAGCGATATCAACTTTTTTACAATATTTCTTTTTTGACATAATTCCTTTAGAATAAATTTCTGGATTGTTAAAATCCCTATTATTAACTAACTGATAAAGAAACTCTTGCGTTCATATGAGCAATATGTTGGATGTTCTGATCTACAATATTTTAATAGTGTTATTATTTACAACTAGAATTAACTAAACTATAATGAGAGAGATGTGGCGGCTTAGTGAAGTAGTCAAGTTGTCACCCTCTCCAAGTAGCAGGTCTAGAGTTCAAATCCCACAGACGACGAAAGTTTGAAAAATAGGCTTGTGTTATGGTAACGGATCTTCATTAAGTTGGGGCTTAGATTAACCTGTAACTTCGGGTCACACCAATGCTCTGTATTGG